CCACTGTCTGTTTGATTGATCCAAAAAAGTCGGGAAGGAACGCCTCATTGGGGGCCAGTGAGGCTTTATTTACACTTTTTTCAGGGCAAAAACACATATATGTGGATGTGGGTGGGGATGCCTGGGAGTGTGTGGGGGCGAAGGAGCCTGCCTGCCTGCCTGCCTTCTGATCAGCAAGGACGGGTGTGCGCCTGGAAGAGTGTGTGAGTGTGTGAGTGTGAGCCCTACTGCCGGTCCCGCCGGCGGCTGCCCTCTGCCTCCCCCGCACACTCCGAGCATTGTTTGGGACTGTCGGGAAGACGCCTCGCACCTCACAAATCATTTAAGCACCTCAGTCTGACGCCTGCAGTCATTAACAAAGTAATCCATTAATCTTCAAAGTTTTGACACCCGAGGGCCCCCCGCATCCCAGTCACATAAGTTCTGCTAAGGCTGCAGGAAGGAGCAGAGAGGGGAAATGAGACTGGAAGAAGAAAAGAGAAGAGAGTGGAGTGGCAAAGGGAAGATGGGAGAGAGGGGAAAGAGGGACAGAGAGAGGAAAGAGAGAGGGAGAGGAGAGGACAGGAGAGAGAGAGAGAGAGAGAGAGAGAGAGAGAGAGAGAGAGAGAGAGAGATTCTTAAGGGGATTTTCTCCCTTTTCTTTCCCTTTTCCTCCTCTTCCTTTTCTTAAGCCAGTTCCAGAATCTCCAGATCTGATCTCTCTGCGTCTCTGTTCCCTCTGCCCCCCCCCCTTTCATATTTTTGCTCTTCTCTCCTCATCTCCTCCCTCTGCCTCCTCTATCCTCTCCTTCCCCTCCCCTTCCCGCAGCACTTCACTTCTCCCACCAAAGCCCAGCCCGGAGTGCGCGCCTCGGACCCAGGACCCTGGCCCATTGTTAAGTCAGCTCTTCCTGGGCAGTTATGATTCTGGCTCCGGCGGGAAGTGGAATACGGGAGGCGACCTCGAAGCTTCCCGACCTTCCTGCTCCACCAACTTTCCAGGAGTGGCTCGAGAAAGATAGATGCATGTGCCAAGAGAGACAACCACCCCGGGTCCATGTGTCCAAACCCTTGTAGCCAGGGCGGCGCTCAGCCAAAGAAATGCCGCCCCGAGCAGGCGCGTGCGGCTCCTGGCATTCTGGGTTTCATACCCGTAGGGCTCGGGTGCGGTGAGTATTTCTGATTTCCAGGAAGCGTTTTGGAAGTTAGCATCAGGAAAGGAGAAGGTGCCTGCTTCTCTGTTCTTTTTCTTTTTCTTTTCCTCCTCTTCTTCTTCGCCTCATCCTTGTCGCTCTGGTTGAGGGCCGGCTGAATTCCAAGCAGGGAGTGCTCCCCAGCAGCCCGAATCGGCTCCCCTACCTTCCTTCTCCTCAGCCACCAGGGATGTTTGCGCTTGGGTTTTATGCTGGGAGAAGGCACTCCGCGGATGAGAGAGGGTGATTCTGGAGGAATTATAAAGGTTCTCTTTCTCACTCACTTTCTTCCAATTTGGAGACTGGAGATTGGGTGTATCTTGAACTATGCTGGAGGGTTCAAAGGCTAACACCTTTAGGTGTCAAACAATAACTTTCTAAAGATCCACCAAGCCAGAAAGAGCGAAGGAGATTGAGAAAAATCTGAAGGTATCTCTCCACCTCCCCCCGCCCCAGGATGATGATTCTTTTTTGCATCCTTTGAAATGGACTGAGTGATCAGACTCTCCCAGGCCGGCAGGCAGCAGTGGCAGGAAAATAAATCATTCTGATGGCCAGGGAGAGAGAGGTTGGCTGGGAAGAAAAATCTAGTAGAAAACAAGAAAGTCTGACCAAGGAACAAGGGTGGAACTCCATCTCAGTGGCCGGCATCAAAGGGAGGTTGGGTGAGAAATTGGATATAAAGTGGCCTCAGTCGTTGAGGAGCCCAGAGCATCGCCTTACAGATAGAGATGCTATTTTGGAAAATCTGAAGTTTTTCAGTTTTCTTGCTTTTATTCCAAACAAAGCTCTGAAGGAAGTCTGGGTGCGATCAATCTTATTCACCAAAAGCCTTGACAGCTTCTGGCCCTTAAGAACACATTTCAGCTTCGAGCTCTTTCCAAGATCAAATGTGGCCGAGCAAAGAAGAGAGCAGGAAACGCAAGTAAACAAGGAAAACTAGTCTTTTTAAAGATATCTTTTGGAAGTGGAAAAACTTATAAGGCTGCTTTTAGGAAAGGTACTTTGCAGAATCTGGGATGGTGGCTTTTGGCGTTTGCTTTTACCAGAAAAGATAGAGGGTTAAAGGGAGGGGGAGCTACAGAGAGGGAGCAAGGCTGCCCCCATATCGCTGAGGCTTTGTCAGGGTCTGCGTGGGTGAGAGCTTTCTGTTCTCCTCAGCAGCCTTAATTCAAATACCATCTGGAAGAAACCCCTTTTCTTTGACCAACACTGAAATGTTCCCCAAATCTATTACTTTAATGCAAGCGGCATTTTAATAAGAATTTCTTTTTAATATCTAGGAAGCTGTGTATGAGAATCATTTTTTTTTTTTGAGAGTCAAAATGAATGTCTTTGGCAAGATATGGGAAATCGTATTAGATTCTCATTTTAAAATCTTTCCCCTGAAGAAGGAAACCTCCTAACCATTCCTCCCTCAGCTAAAGAGATTTTAGAAATGGGTTTAAATAGTGGTATCCCTGACAGAAGATGTTCTTACTGGATCTCTCTCCCTATCTCTTTCTCACACATACATTCACTTCCTTATTATATATACATATATATATATATAATGATTACTTAATAGAAGAATCTTGTGTCTGCTTAGCCTACACATTCCAGATCTGAACAATCAAAGGGGTGGAAGCTCCAGCTGACGCAAAAACTGGCTATCCAGCCTCTGCCTTTCCAAGGTTTGCCATGTAGGGAGGGTGGGGTGGCATTGGGAGAAAATGTACTTCCTCAGCCCATATTTAAAAGAAACATATATGGAAGCACCAGGACAGACGTCCGGGGAGCATCGCTGACTGTGGAAGAAACGCTTGCATTTTCTGAGTCTTTTTCCTTTTTTCTTAAAATATAAGGTTTCCTAAAAGCAGCTCCTGCGGACCCAGCTCCAGTGCCTGTTTCTAAAGACCATCTGAAGAGCTTCTCAGGGGGGAGATAGAAGCCATGGTGATGGATATTTTGGATTGCAAACAAAATGGCGACATTTTTTCACCTCAATCCAGGGAGAAGGGAGGTGGGGGTTATTTCTCACAGTAGATGTTCCTGATCCCCAGACGCAAGTGGTTCCTCACTTCCAGCTTTGTGAGGGATGCAGTTCTGAGGTTTACACCTCTGAGTTTGATCCTTCTCCAAGCAATCCTTTAAGATGAAAATATTTAACTTCCTTGTGCCTGCTTTTGCCTCTGCCAGTCAGTCAATAGGCAGTCTTATCTTCTATCCAGGAGCAGAAAGGTAATGTTTAGCTCCCAGAGTATCAAATGAAAGAGGTACTTAACAAAATTGCATTTTTATTAGAAAGATTCCAATCCCCTGGCCTCCCTCTCCCTGGGGCCATAGGGAGGAAAACTGGAGAGGAAATAAATCCTGAGAATGCCAAATCCTAAATTTGCGGAAGAGTTGGTGCTTAGACTCGAGCAGTCCAGGAAAGGCTCAGGGAGGCCTCTCTGAGCTTAGTCGTCTTTTGCCGGAGAACTGGACTAGCTTCTATTTATTTCTAACTGCCTACCTCCAAACAGCGAGTTTAGCAGAGATTCTTTCTTCCTGGCGCCGGGGAATCCCGTTGCTCCTGGAAAGTGTTCGGCATCCTCCTTGTTGCAGGCTCTTCCCCGTTTAAGGCCTGCGACGTAAAGCTCTGACCGGAGGACAATCGCCCGAGAAGACATTCAAGCCCGATTCCTCCTCGGGGCCTGCGCGGGCACCTGGGCGCCCCGCCGCGCATCCAGCGTAGGGCCATTGTTTCTCCCGCACTCGCACTCCGCAGTTCCAAAGCCCGCAGCCGGCATCCGTGGCAGCTGGGAACCAGGCTGCCCAGCGGGCTGGCCGCGTGGCGTTTCCAAAACTGCTGCCGCTAAGAGCTCCGGCTGCCCTCCGAGAATTCGCCAAGCTCCCAGATGAGTCGCCTGGCCAAGCCCCACGCCGGACCCGGAGGGCTGCTGCGGCCTGCCCAGTCAGTTCATCACCGCCGGTATTCCACGCAGATCCCCATCTTCAGCCAAAGAACCCCTTCTGCACACGGATATTATTCAGAATAAAGACTTTATTTTTTGTTGTTGTTTTGTTTCTCAGAATGTGAGCAGCAAGGAATGTAGAACTCTCAAAACAAATCTAGCATTTTTCGGGTTTACAGATTGATTTTTCGGTTCTGTCGGATGTTACAAACCTAAATCACTGTTTTCAAAAGCTGGAACCTCTCTGACATTATTGCATCATTACCGTTTTTATAAAGGAATTATATTTCCCTTTCAAATAAGTGTTTTCTATGTACGCCAATACACCATTGAACAAAAGGCCCAGAAACCTTCTGAACAACCAGGGTACAGAATTTCTTTAATATAAATACGAACAGATGGGGATAAATAATATTTAAAACTTATTCAATGCTTGCAAAAAAATATAAATAAATCTGACTGTTCACCAGCATACACACACGGAAAGACGTACACTTAGTTATCCTTGCACAGGGAGACCCTGTTTCAAAGCGCCTTTGATTTTTTTCTCGCTCTTTACAAGAAGTGCAATTTAAAAAAAAAAACCTAAAAATTAAAAAAAAATAGTAATCGCTTCCCTTCGGGAGCCATAATGTACGAACAAATTCACATTGAAGAACTCGACTAGAAATTTGTTCATATACCCTGTTTCTGATCAAAGAGTAGAGAAGGTAAAGGGTGCAGGGCCAGCGGCCCAGCGAGGATGGGAGGAGATAAATATCGCTACTGATACTGACAGCCATTCCAGCAACCAAGATTGCTACGTCACATAAACTATAAAAAGTTGTTACAAAAAAAAAAAAAAAAAAACAGGGGCGGTAATAGAGGGGAGACAGAGGAGAGAAAACAGGGAGGGGCAGAAAGAACCTTAAACAAAACAAAACAGAAAAAGCAAAGGAAGGAGGGGGAGGAGGGACTCTCCTGGTGAGCAGCCCCAGCCAATTATCACAGGTGGGTGAGCTTGGGGGCTTCCTGAATTCTTCCCTGAGAAGGATGGTGGGCAGTAAGGTCCGTATAGGTAGGGTGTGGTTCCCCTGGCCCGGGCCCATGATGGTGGCCGCTGCCCAACGGCCCAGCCCCCCCATAGTCCATGGCTGCTGAGGCCGCGTGGGGGAGGTGAGTTAGGCCAAAAAGGGTCGGCCCAGAGTTGCTCATGGGCTCCACATAGCTGCCCCCCACGAAGACGGGGCTTCCCTGTAAGTGTGGGGTCCCATAGCTGCCGTTGCCCTGCAGGCCATGCGCGTGCGGGTCGTAGTCGGGTGTGCCCCCAGCGCCCGTCCCAGCCGCGGTGTAGCGCTTCTGTGGAGGTGGCGGGGGCGCGCAGCTAGGCAGGGGTGCGGGATAAGAGGCGGGGGGCAGTCCGTAGGCGCCCTGGGGAGGTTTAGAGAAAGGCGGGGGCGACTGGGGCTCGTATGGGACGCTGTTAACTAGCGAATGCATAGAGTTCAGATAGCCGCCCGCACCGGGAGGTACGGGGCTGCGACTTGGGGACTGACCCCCTGACGATGTCAGCATGCCCTTGCCCTTCTGATCCTTCTTGTACTTCATTCGGCGATTCTGGAACCAGATCTTGATCTGGCGCTCCGTGAGGTTCAGCAGGTTGGCCATCTCCACCCGGCGCGGTCGGCACAGGTAGCGGTTGAAGTGGAATTCCTTCTCCAGTTCCACCAGCTGCGCGCTCGTGTAGGCCGTGCGCGCCCTCTTGGACGACGCCTGCCCAGGCGGGCTCTTGTCGCCGGCGCAGCTCTCCCCTGCGAGAAGAGAGAGGAAGGGTGGCGTCAGAGACTGCCGGCCCCGCCCAGCCCCTGACCCAGTCAGGCCCCTCCTTCCTCCAGGATCCCTCCATCTGTCAGAGCCCAAAAGGGGGGGGGAGGAAGAACTAGGTGCAGTCTTCTGACCTGGCCAGACAGTGAGGAGAGCTGGGAAGCTAGCCCCTCATTCAGTCAAGTTGCAAATCATAGGCCTGGGGGGTGGAGGGTGAGGACAGAAAAGTAGAACTCCTAGTTTGCCCTCTTCCCTGAAGATTTCCTTCTTTGAGCTATTCAATTTACAACTCATATATTGATCTTTCCAACCTCTCAGACTACAGGCTCCCTGTGGGCAGGTCTCACAATCTTCCTTTCCCTTCACAATGTGGGGCATCTAATAAACATTCGGTAAGCTTTTTCCCTTGCTCACTGTTTGACTGGAGAATTGGTCAGTTGCCTCAACTGGCTATTCATTTAACTACCCAGTAGAGATGCAAGGAGTGGAAGCCCCAGAATGAAAGACCTTCTCTGCCCAAGGAAGAAGTTCCATTGAAACTGTTCACTTCTGATGGGGAGGTCCGGCCCCCTGATGTAATTCCTATTAGCTAGTGCTCTCCAGGTTATCAAGCAGCCTGCCCCAGTTCTGTCCACTGATTCTTGTATCCTCCTGCCCTTCCTGGCCCTCCAATTGTGGCTCTGGAGGGTCCCAAGTACTCAGGTTCAGAGCAGAGCACTGACAGCTGAAGGAGGCAAGGACAACGGTAACCAAGATGGTGGGAAGCCCAATACCTGGGGCCTATTCTCCACTTAAGTATGCTATTAGGAAGCCCCCTGTGGTCCCTATGAGGATGACAAGTTCATATCCCCTTCTCAAGGCATCCCTGGCTATACTAAGTCTGAGTAGGGCCTTCCCAGAGGTAAGGCAGCCACTCCATCTGCTGGAGCAAAAAATAAAACTAGGTTCTGATTATAGGCAAAGCATTAATTCCCACTAGAAAACTGACTAGACGTACTTTCATTCTGCTACATTTTAAGATGACTTCTGTGTCAGTATTTTGTTAGAAATGAACTGTGCCAAAAATCTTAACGGAGCTCAGGTTTGCTCCGTTCAAAGATTCTCCTCCAAGAGTGGAACAAAAAGGATTCCAAAGTCACTAGGCCCCACTTAACTCTTGGAGCAGTCAAAAAGGACTCCTGTCAGGAGTCTTTGTGGGCACAAAGTCCTATCTGTCACCTCCCTAGTTTCAAAGATCTGGATCTGGAACCTTTGTGAAGGGGGGTGGGGGGAGAGATGGGAGGGTCAGCAGTGAATTTTTGAAAATGTCCCAGTGCTTCCAGATGGTAGTACAGTTGGCTTGGGGGCCTTAGCCAAGTCAGAGGACCCTCCTCGGTAGCCATCCCTTTACCTGAGCTGGAGCCGCTGGTTTTCTGCTTTGTGTTTTGCCGAGACTCTTTCATCCAAGGGAAGATTTGTTTGGCCACAGTAGGCGAATTGAGCAGGGGACTCTTGGCTGTGCTGGCAGGGGCAGGGTTACCGCTGGCATTCTGAGGTGGGGAGACTGAGGAGGGGGGTGGAGGCACCGCAGGAGTGGGCGCCGAGGGCTGTGGTGGTGGTTGAGGCTGCTGTGGGGCGGGGGGCGCAGCCTGGGGCTGGGGGGGTGCCAGGGGAGGCTCCCCCAGGCCTGGGGGTTGGCTGGGAGGGCCACTCAGGGTACGTAGACACGCTTCGTTTAGCTCGTGTGCTTTGGGGTGGCCCCCACCACTAGCAGGAGACTGGAGTGAGCAAGCTGGTCGGTGGTACTCGCCACCGTCGGCGCCCAATGCCGCGGACGCTGGGTACGGCTGCTGACTGGCATTATAAGCGAACCCGTTGGCTGCCTGGTAGGGGTAGCCACCGTAGATCGCCGAGCTGTCGTAGTAGGTCGCTTTTTGCATTGCGTTGTTTCAAGATCTTGATCGCACACTCTGACAGGGGCTTGACACCCGTGAGGGCGCACATTGGCACGCCCCGATGGTCACGTGACGCTCCGCCGCCAATTGCCGCCCCGCGCAGACCTGTGGGGGGGGGGCAAGAAGCGCAGCGCGGTGAGGGCTCCGCGCAAATCCATCTTACTCTCAATAGCTAAGTGACATGAAAGCCATAAAAGAAAAAGTGGTCAGCAATATTTAGCAGCACGACTTGGCCTCAGGCACAGAGAGCCGCGCTATAAAAAGCCGCTGGAATTTACTGGCAGCTACAAATATTTGCTTAACTTGCGTCTAGAGTTGGGGGGGGGGCGGTTTCCGGGGAGAGAAAAGGAGAATGAGTGAGGGTTAGAAGCCCAATCTTGGAAGCTGGAATATAGAAGGAAAAGGCCAGATGATTAAGAAGAAACAAGGTTAGAATCCTTTACCAAGGAAGAAGGATCTTGGGGTGCCCATTCGTCCCAGTTCTCTGGCCTCATTGAGAAAGCCCAGCGACTCCTACATTCTGGGCTATCTTGAAGAAAAGGTGAGGAGGCAGAACGTAGCCTATGTCTCCAGTTTTTTTTCTCCAACCCGTTTAGGACTGATATTTGCCAAATAGAATCCTGGCACGGAGTGATTTCCCCCCCACGCCCAGCCCCTTCATGGATTTCCAGCACAATTTTTTTTTTTTTCAAGCAATCACCTTACTTGAGACTGCTGAGTTTGTTAAGCAGTTAATTTACCCTTGTGCAGTAATAGACCCGCCCCATCTAAATAAGCCCCTTGTGCCAGAACAGGAGAGAGAACTTTGGATGGTACATCCTGTGTTTGGGGGCACCACCAACCCTCTCCAATGGGCCACAACTAAAATCCTGAATTATTCTTTACTCCTTTCCTCTCCATATGTCTCAGGCATGTTCCAGCAAGCCTCTCCCAACTCTTTTCCCCTGTTACAGAAGGTTCCCTAGTCTCTCCTCCCTTGGACTTTCTGAGGTGCTGTTATTCAGGGCAACTATCAAATTCTACCTGTTAAAACATGATGGATTAGAGAAAAAAAACAACCCACCAGGAACCTGAAAAACCAGCGTTCATCTCCATGACCACGGCTTGAACTCTCCTTCCAACTTAACGATAATAGGTTCTGTCTTAGAAACTGCTATGTAATTTGATGTATGGGGGTCATTTGGCTCTGGACGAGGGATGGAAGCACAAGCCATAAAATCCTGCCAGAGTTCCCTGATCTTTGTGTGCTGTTGTTGTTGATATTTGTTGCTTGGCCTGGTTACCTGCTTCAGAAACACCAAGTAATGGGTAGTCCTGAAAATATAAAAGGCAACTGAAAACCTTAACCCTTTTTATTTAGAAATAATTTTCAGAACTGAAATCTGTATTTTGTGTTCAACCTTTTTGTAGTCAATTCTTAGCTCTGAAAAGTTCTGTGTGACTTCTCTCTCTTTCTCTACCTATCAAATGTTAGTTTCTCTGACCATTTAAGATGTACAATAACAAATTAATGAAGAAAATTGTTTACACTATGTATTTGAGTCCTAGAGTAACTCAAGTTTTCCAGGAATAATACTTTGTTAACTAAGAAAAAATACTGTAATAAAGCATGTACCAGTGAATGATAATAATTTTGTTTTTAATAATGGATTCCTTTGTATTACATTACGAAACCAACAATCTGACCAACATCTGGAAAACAGACGCACTTAATTTTCCAGAACCTCAATTAAAAATTATAGCATCTCTTATCGGAATCACTGTGTGTGATCTTGAGCCCTAGAGTATCGTTTCTCTTTTGGAAATAGATAGGAAGCTACAGATACCAAGATCAAAAGTAAATAAAAGATTAAGTAAAATTTAAAACTGAATAGCAATTTAATGTCTCAGTTCCTGTTCTTTCACACAAAAATACAGCCCCTATTTCATTTGGCAGTGTTAATGTCTGCCATTGTAATTTTTAAGATACTAGTTTGTGTAAAATAAAACACCAGGCTAAGAAAATTAGTCAGCATTTGAACAGCAAGATATTAGATAAAACAAAATTAAGCTGAGTTTGAATGTGCAGTATTTCAAGTGACTTGCTAATCTATTCTCACAAACTACACTGGCCTGCTGCTTACTTGTATCTTTTCAGCCAGGTGTGCATTGTCTCATAAAATAACAGCAGTATCTTTAAAAATCAAAGAGCATACAACCACCACCATAAATTCACCATGTGAATTCACCCCAGAGATCCCACCAAAGTCTTTCCTATTGTTCGAGGTCAGCAGACAACTACCTACCTTGGGGCCCAAAGAATCGTTTCCCCCAACTTAGCCCCCAAAGTTTGCAGCCTGGTAAAGAAGTTGGAGATTTGCCAGTCAGGAAACTTTGCTTTACATCCTAAGCAAGGGTTGGGGATGGGAGGAGAGTTTCCAAAAAGAAACGTTTCTGGACAATAACCCTTGGGTGCAAGAGCTGGTAGGGAGTTAAGGAGGCTAAGTTGAGTGCAGGAAGCAAGCTCTATTGTCTCTCTGGAAGATCTGCCCAAATTCAACCTCCTTCCTTCAGTCACCGTTCCCTCTTTCCTCTCCCGCCCCTTGCACCTTCAGCAGTCACCCCGAGTTTAAGCGGGAACGCCCGGCCAGAATCTCCGGATCCCTTTAGCCGCCCCTCCCTCCCTCCCCAACACAGAAAAGTTGAGGCTGGGCTAGAGGAAAGGGAAGAGGTGGGGGGCGGGGATGGGAAAGCGGCTTGAACTCGAAGTGTAAGGGTATCAGTCACTGCCGGGAAGGAAGCTCCGGCTTGTGAACTCTTCTTGAACCGAGATTTAAGTCTGCAGCCATAAATCACCGAGACGTAAACTCCGCCATTCAGCGCTGAGAGCAGCCGGTTGTGGCCCTGCTTACCTTAACTTCTGACGAGCGCCGCGAGCACAGGCTCGGGCTCGGGCTCCGGCCCCCGGCCCGGCTCGGCGGCCCGGCCGGGTCCCCTCGGCGCGGGACGGGCACCGACCCTCAGCATCAGCCGAGACAGCGGGCGGGAGGGAGACCCCGAGGCCCGAACGCCGCGGCGCAGAGC